GTGATTCTTGATCTCGCGGTTGTAAGTTCAAGCCCCATGTTGGGTGCAGAGATTACTTAAAAATAAAATCTTAAATAAATAAATAAATAAATAAATAAATAAATGTCCAGGGCACCTGGGTGGCTCAATCAGTTAAGCGTCTAACTCTTGATTTCAGCTCAGGTCATGGTCTTAGGGTTGTGGGAATGAGCCCAAATTGGGCTCCTTACCCAGCCGGCCCTGTGCTTGAGATTGTCCCTCTTCCTCTGCACCCCTCCCCACTGACACACACTATCTCTCTGTCTCAAATAAACAAATAAACCTAAAACAATAAGAGGTCTTTACAGTTAATATCACATCTCATACCTGCATAGTAGTGAAGATCTTCACTTGATACCTACAAAAATTTAAAAAAAATACCCATTAAATCAGATGTTAAGGACATCATCCTCACTTACATAGATACTCAAGTTCACATGGTCTTTATTGTAGTAGGAGTCACCATTAACGCTCACCTGGTTTAACATTTGTGTTAAAAACCATTTTCAGTTCACCCTGCTTTCTTCACAGGAACCTGAAGAAACACATACAGATGAGTTTAAGATCCAATTTGTTCTAAGACACCTGCACCTATCCTTGTTCACTTCCATTATTATGGAACACATCAACTCCACCCGCATCCTCGCACCTACTCGAGGTCAACAGTGTTGACAGCAGAGACGAACACTACTTGACTGGATACCTGGCAAAACCCTATGGTTACCACTGTGGTGACACTCGACCACAATTGCCTAGACAGGATCGACTCCTCAATACTTACAAGATTAAACATACATTTTTCTCTAACATGTGGAAAGTATAAACTCATGCTTATTAGAATTGGTAAGGACTCTATCATTTCTTACCTGATTATCTGAAAAAACAAACAAACAAACAAACACATGGCAAGCAAGTTTAGTCCATCATTCACACTTACATGGTATGTGAAAATCAGATGATTTGAAATGGTGAAGGTGAACATCATCACCTACCTGGGTAACAGAAATGTCCGCAGACAATGACTAGTGTTAGGTTCATCATCATCTCTTCACAGGAACCTAAAAAACACATGATGATATATGTGTAAAAGGACATGGCTTATTCTAACGGGACACCTATCAATAAGCTTGGTCATTTCCATCATTATAAAAGCATTAACTCTGCCTGAATATCTCTAGTACTCCAAGGTCAAGACCACTGTCAGGTAATACAACTTTTACAGGACACCTACAAACCTGTCATGATCACTACTGTGGTTGCGATACGTTGAACAATACCTGATAAGCGTAATCCCTCATCACTCAGAGTTAAACAAGAGTTTTCTCTAAACACTGAAAACTCACGGTTTCAAGAGTTAGTTAGCAATCTATCATTTCTCATCTGAATACTTGCAAAGAAATCATGGTAATAGCAAGTGTTAGGGACCCCATCATCATTTCCCTAGGTATGTGAGGATCAGAGGGTCTGTGCTGTGACTTAGGCCAACATCATCACCTACTGTGACTTCAACAACGTTCCATGGGAGCTGCCATTGATAGGCTCACTGTGATGTACTGAGGAGTATGGGGAAAAAATCACTGGAGAAAATATTTGGGGGGCATATCTTATTCTACCTCTATACCTGCTAATTCCTCTCGTCACTGTATCATTCAAGGAACCATCAGCACTACCTAGATACTTACAGAACTCCAAGGTCAATCCCTGAACAGACGCCTTCCTCTCTTCAAGGTATACCTGCAGGAATCCCATAGTCAATGAAATAGTGAAGGACAGTATGATAAATTACCTGGATATCTGCTAATCCATCTAGCACTACTATGTCAAGTACACATTATCTACAAACAAGAATACAAAACAAGTCTTATTCCTATCAGTATTATAAGGGACAAATTAAGCTCCTAAGTAAGTACATGCCAAAAACAAAGTAAACTTAAGAGACCTGAAATCATACATTTGCAGATATCTGAATATAGAAAGGTCTTTAGGGGCACCTAGCTGGCTCAGTCGGTAGAGCATGTGATTCTTGATCTCGCAGTTCGAAGTTCAAGCCCCATGTTGGGTGCAGAGAGTACTTAAAAATAACTAACTAACTAACAAAGAAACAAACAAACAAACAAACAAATAAATAAATAAATAAATGTATGTATCTATGTATGTATGTCCAGGGCACCTGGGTGGCTCAGTCGATTAAGTGTCTGACTCCTGATTTCATCTCAGGTCATGATCTAGGTATCGTGGGAATGAGCCCCAATTTGGGCTCCTTACCCAGCAGGCCCTGTGCTTGAGATTCTCCCTCTCCCTTGCACCCCTCGCCACTCACACACACTCTCTCTCTGTCTCAAGGAAACAGATAAACCTAAAATAATAAGAGGTCTTTAATCAGTTAATATCACTTCTCATACCTGCAGAATAGTAAAGATCTTCACCTGATACCTACAAAAATTTAAACAAAATACCCATTAACACGGATGTGAAGGACATCATCCTCACTTACCTACATACTCAAGTTCAGATGGTCTTTATTGTAGTAGGATTCACCATTAACGCTCACCTGGTTCCTAGCAAGGTTGTGTTAAAAACCATTTTCAGTTCACACTGTTTTCTTCACAGGAACCTAAAGAAACACATACAGATGAGTTTAAGATCCAATTTGTTCTAAAACACCTGCACCTATCCTTGTTCACTTCCATTATTATGGAACACATCAACTCCACCCGCATCCCTTGCACCTACTCGAGGTCAACAGTGTTGTCAGCAGAGACGAACACTTCTTGACTGGATACCTGGCAAAACTCTATGGTTACCACTGTGGTGACACTCGACCACAATTGCCTAGACAGGATTGACTCCTGAATACTTACAAGATTAAACATAAATTTTTCTCTAACATGTGGAAAGAATAAACTCATGCTCATTAGAATTGGTAAGGACTCTATCATTTCTTACCTGATTATCTGAAAAAACAAACAAAGAAACAAACACATGGCAAGCAAGTTTAGTCCATCATTCACACTTACCTGGTATGTGAAAATCCGATGATTTGAAATGGTGAAGGTGAACATCATCACCTACCTGGGTAACAGAAATGTCCGCAGACAATGACTAGTGTTAGGTTCATCATCATCTCTTCACAGGGACCTAAAAAACACATGATGATACACGTGTAAAAGGACATGGCTTACTCTAACGGGGCACCTATCAATAAACTTGCTCATTTCCATCATTATGAAAGCATGAACTCTGCCTCAATATCTCTAGTACTCCAAGGGCAAGACCACTGTCAGGTAATACAACTTTTACAGGACACCTACAAACCTCTCATGATCACTACTGTGGTTGCGATACGTTGACCAATCCCTGATAAGTGTAATCCCTCATCACTCAGAGTTAAACAAGAGTTTTCTCTAAACACTGAAAACTCACGGTTTCAAGAGTTAGTTAGCAATCTATCATTTCTCATCTGAATACTTGCAAAGAAATCATGGTAATAGCAAGTGTTAGGGACCCCATCATCACTTACCTAGGTATCTGAGGATCAGAGAGTCTGTGCTGTGACTTAGGCCCACATCATCACCTACTGTGACTTCAACAACGACCATGGGAGCTGCCATTGATAAGCTCACTGTGATGTACTGAGGAGTATGGGGAAAAAATCACTGGAGAAAATATTTTGGGGGCATATCTTATTCTACCTCTATACCTGCAAATTCCCCTCGTCACTGTATCATGGAAGGAACCATCAGCACTACCTAGATACTTACAGAAATCCAAGGTCAATCCTTGAAGAGACGCCTTCCTCTCTTCAAGGTACACCTGCAGTAATCCCATAGTCAATGAAATAGTGAAGGACACTATGATAAATTACCTGGATATCTGCTAATCCATCTAGCACTAGTATGTCAAGTACACATTATCTTCAAACAAGAATACAAAACAAGTCTTATTCCTATCAGTATTATAAGGGACAAATTAAGCTCCTAACTAAGTACATGCCAAAACAAAGGAAACTTAAGAGACCTGAAATCATACATTTGTAGATATCTGAATATAGAAAGGTTTTTAGGGGCACCTAGCTGGCTCAGTCGGTGGAGCATGTGATTCTTGATCTCGCGGTTGTAAGTTCAAGCCCCATGTTGGGTGCAGAGATTACTTAAAAATAAAATCTTAAATAAATGAATAAATAAATAAATAAATAAATAAATAAATAAATAAATAAATAAATATCCAGGGCACGTGGGTGGCTCAGTCGCTTAAGCATCTGACTCTTGATTTCAGCTCAGGTCATGGTCTTGGGGTCGTGGGAATGAGCCCCAAGTTGGGCTCCTTACCCAGCGGGCCCTGTGCTTGAGATTCTCCCTCTCCCTCTGTACCCCTCCCCACTCACACACACTCTCTCTCTGTCTCAAATAAACAAATAAACCTAAAACAATAAGAGGTCTTTAATCAGTTAATATCACATCTCATACCTGCATTCTAGTGAAGATCTTCACCTGGTACCTACAAAAATTAAAAAAAATACCCATTAACACGGATGTGAAGGACATCATCCTCACTTACCTAGATACCCAAGTTCAGATGGTCTTTATTGGAGTAGAATTCACCATTAACGCTCACCTGGTTCCTAGCTAGGTTGTGTTAAAAACCATTTTTAGTTCACCCTGTTTTCTTCACAGGGACCTGAAGAAACACAAACAGATGAGTTTAAGATCCAATTTGTTCTAAGACACCTGCACCTATCCTTGTTCACTTCCGTTATTATGGAACACATCAACTCCACCCTCATCCTCGCACCTACTCGAGGTCAACAGTGTTGTCAGAAGAGACGAACACTACTTGACTGGATACCTGGCAAAACCCTATGGTTACCACTGTGGTGACACTCCACCACAATTGCCTAGACAGGATCGACTCCTCAATACTTACAAGATTAAACATACATTTTTCTCTAACATGTGGAAACTATAAACTCATGCTTATTAGAATTGGTAAGGACTCTATCATTTCTTACCTGATTATCTGAAAAAACAAACAAACAAACAAACACATGGCAAGCAAGTTTAGTCCATCATTCACACTTACCTGGTATGTGAAAATCCGATGATTTGAAATGGTGAAGGTGAATATCATCACCTACCTGGGTAACAGAAATATCCGCAGACAATGACTAGTGTTAGGTTCATCATCATCTCTTTACAGGAACCTAAAAAACACATGATGATATACGTGTAAAAGGACATGGCTTATTCTAACGGGGCACCTATCAATAAACTTGCTCATTTCCATCATTATGAAAGCATGAACTCTGCCTCAATATCTCTAGTACTCCAAGGGCAAGACCACTGTCAGGTAATACAACTTTTACAGGACACCTACAAACCTGTCATGATCACTACTGTGGTTGCGATACGTTGACCAATCCCTGATAAGTGTAATCCCTCATCACTCAGAGTTAAACAAGAGTTTTCTCTAAACACTGAAAACTCACGGTTTCAAGAGTTAGTTAGCAATCTATCATTTCTCATCTGAATACTTGCAAAGAAATCATGGTAATAGCAAGTGTTAGGGACCCCATCATCACTTACCTAGGTATCTGAGGATCAGAGGGTCTGTGCTGTGACTTAGGCCCACATCATCACCTACTGTGACTTCAACAACGACCATGGGAGCTGCCATTGATAGGCTCACTGTGATGTACTGAGGAGTATGGGGAAAAAATCACTGGAGAAAATATTTTGGGGGCATATCTTATTCTACCTCTATACCTGCAAATTCCCGTCGTCACTGTATCATGGAAGGAACCATCAGCACTACCTAGATACTTACAGAACTCCAAGGTCAATCCTTGAAGAGACGCCTTCCTTTCTTCAAGGTATACCTGGAGGAATCCCATAGTCAATGAAATTGTGAAGGACACTATGATAAATTACCTGGATATCTGCTAATCCATCTAGCACTACTATGTCAAGTACACATTATCTTCACACAAGAATACAAAACAAGTCTTATTCCTATCAGTATTATAAGGGACAAATGAAGCTCCTAACTAAGTACATGCCAAAAACAAAGTAAACTTAAGAGACCTGAAATCATACATTTGTAGATATCTGAATATAGAAAGGTCTTTAGGGGCACCTAGCTGGCTCAGTCGATGGAGCATGTGATTCTTAATCTCGCTTTTGTAAGTTCAAGCCCCATGTTGGGTGCAGAGATTACTTAAAAATAAAATCTTAAATAAATAAATAAATAAATAAATAAATAAATAAATAAATAAATAAATATCCAGGGCACCTGGGTGGCTCAGTCGCTTAAGCATCTGACTCTTGATTTCAGCTCAGGTCATGGTCTTGGGGTCGTGGGAATGAGCCCCAAGTTGGCCTCCTTACCCAGCGGGCCCTGTGCTTGAGATTCTCCCTCTCCCTCTGCACCCCTCCCCACTCACACACACTTTCTCTCTGTCTCAAATAAACAAATAAACCTAAAACAATAAGAGGTCTTTAATCAGTTAATATCACATCTCATACCTGCATACTAGTGAAGATCTTCACCTGATACCTACAAAAATTAAAAAAAAATACCCATTAACACGGATGTGAAGGACATCATCTTCACTTACCTAGATACTCAAGTTCAGATGGTCTTTATTGGAGTAGAATTCACCATTAACGCTCACCTGGTTCCTAGCTAGGTTGTGTTAAAAACCATTTTCAGTTCACTCTGTTTTCTTCACAGGGACCTGAAGAAACACATACAGATGAGTTTAAGATCCAATTTGTTCTAAGACACCTGCACCTATCCTTGTTCACTTCCGTTATTATGGAACACATCAACTCCACCCGCATCCTCGCACCTACTCGAGGTCAACAGTGTTGTCAGAAGAGACGAACACTACTTGACTGGATACCTGGCAAAACCCTATGGTTACCACTGTGGTGACACTCCACCACAATTGCCTAGACAGGATCGACTCCTCAATACTTACAAGATTAAACATACATTTTTCTCTAACATGTGGAAAGTATAAACTCATGCTTATTACAATTGTTAAGGACTCTATCATTTCTTACCTGATTATCTGAAAAAACAAACAAACAAACAAACACATGGCAAGCAAGTTTAGTCCATCATTCACACTTACCTGGTATGTGAAAATCCGATGATTTGAAATGGTGAAGGTGAACATCATCACCTACCTGGGTAACAGAAATGTCCGCAGACAATGACTAGTGTTAGGTTCATCATCATCTCTTCACAGGGACCTAAAAAACACATGATGATATACGTGTAAAAGGACATGGCTTATTCTAACGGGGCACCTATCAATAAACTTGCTCATTTCCATCATTATGAAAGCATGAACTCTGCCTCAATATCTCTAGTACTCCAAGGGCAAGACCACTGTCAGGTAATACAACTTTTACAGGACACCTACAAACCTGTCATGATCACTACTGTGGTTGCGATACGTTGACCAATCCCTGATAAGTGTAATCCCTCATCACTCAGAGTTAAACAAGAGTTTTCTCTAAACACTGAAAACTCACGGTTTCAAGAGTTAGTTAGCAATCTATCATTTCTCATCTGAATACTTGCAAAGAAATCATGGTAATAGCAAGTGTTAGGGACCCCATCATCACTTACCTAGGTATCTGAGGATCAGAGGGTCTGTGCTGTGACTTAGGCCCACATCATCACCTACTGTGACTTCAACAACGACCATGGGAGCTGCCATTGATAGGCTCACTGTGATGTACTGAGGAGTATGGGGAAAAAATCACTGGAGAAAATATTTTGGGGGCATATCTTATTCTACCTCTATACCTGCAAATTCCCCTCGTCACTGTATCATGGAAGGAACCATCAGCACTACCTAGATACTTACAGAACTCCAAGGTCAATCCTTGAAAAGACGCCTTCCTCTCTTCAAGGTATACCTGCAGGAATCCCATAGTCAATGAAATAGTGAAGGACACTATGATAAATTACCTGGATATCTGCTAATCCATCTAGCACTACTATGTCAAGTACACATTATCTTCACACAAGAATACAAAACAAGTCTTATTCCTATCAGTATTATAAGGGACAAATTAAGCTCCTAACTAAGTACATGCCAAAAACAAAGTAAACTTAAGAGACCTGAAATCATACATTTGTAGATATCTGAATATAGAAAGGTCTTTAGGGGCACCTAGCTGGCTCAGTCGATGGAGCATGTGATTCTTGATCTCGCTTTTGTAAGTTCAAGCCCCATGTTGGGTGCAGAGATTACTTAAAAATAAAATCTTAAATAAATAAATAAATAAATAAATAAATAAATAAATAAATAAATATCCATGGCACCTGGGTGGCTCAGTCGCTTAAGCATCTGACTCTTGATTTCAGCTCAGGTCATGGTCTTGGGGTCGTGGGAATGAGCCCCAAGTTGGGCTCCTTACCCAGCGGGCCCTGTGCTTGAGATTCTCCCTCTCCCTCTGCACCCCTCCCCACTCACACACACTCTCTCTCTGTCTCAAATAAACAAATAAACCTAAAACAATAAGAGGTCTTTAATCAGTTAATATCACATCTCATACCTGCATACTAGTGAAGATCTTCACCTGATACCTACAAAAATTAAAAAAAAATACCCATTAACACGGATGTGAAGGACATCATCTTCACTTACCTAGATACTCAAGTTCAGATGGTCTTTATTGGAGTAGAATTCACCATTAACGCTCACCTGGTTCCTAGCTAGGTTGTGTTAAAAACCATTTTCAGTTCACTCTGTTTTCTTCACAGGGACCTGAAGAAACACATACAGATGAGTTTAAGATCCAATTTGTTCTAAGACACCTGCACCTATCCTTGTTCACTTCCGTTATTATGGAACACATCAACTCCACCCGCATCCTCGCACCTACTCGAGGTCAACAGTGTTGTCAGAAGAGACGAACACTACTTGACTGGATACCTGGCAAAACCCTATGGTTACCACTGTGGTGACACTCCACCACAATTGCCTAGACAGGATCGACTCCTCAATACTTACAAGATTAAACATACATTTTTCTCTAACATGTGGAAAGTATAAACTCATGCTTATTAGAATTGTTAAGGACTCTATCATTTCTTACCTGATTATCTGAAAAAACAAACAAACAAACAAACACATGGCAAGAAAGTTTAGTCCATCATTCACACTTACCTGGTATGTGAAAATCCGATGATTTGAAATGGTGAAGGTGAACATCATCACCTACCTGGGTAACAGAAATGTCCGCAGACAATGACTAGTGTTAGGTTCATCATCATCTCTTCACAGGGACCTAAAAAACACATGATGATATACGTGTAAAAGGACATGGCTTATTCTAACGGGGCACCTATCAATAAACTTGCTCATTTCCATCATTATGAAAGCATGAACTCTGCCTCAATATCTCTAGTACTCCAAGGGCAAGACCACTGTCAGGTAATACAACTTTTACAGGACACCTACAAACCTCTCATGATCACTACTGTGGTTGCGATACGTTGACCAATCCCTGATAAGTGTAATCCCTCATCACTCAGAGTTAAACAAGAGTTTTCTCTAAACACTGAAAACTCACGGTTTCAAGAGTTAGTTAGCAATCTATCATTTCTCATCTGAATACTTGCAAAGAAATCATGGTAATAGCAAGTGTTAGGGACCCCATCATCACTTACCTAGGTATCTGAGGATCAGAGAGTCTGTGCTGTGACTTAGGCCCACATCATCACCTACTGTGACTTCAACAACGACCATGGGAGCTGCCATTGATAGGCTCACTGTGATGTACTGAGGAGTATGGGGAAAAAATCACTGGAGAAAATATTTTGGGGGCATATCTTATTCTACCTCTATACCTGCAAATTCCCCTCGTCACTGTATCATGGAAGGAACCATCAGCACTACCTAGATACTTACAGAACTCCAAGGTCAATCCTTGAAGAGACGCCTTCCTCTCTTCAAGGTATACCTGCAGTATTCCTATAGTCAATGAAATAGTGAAGGACACTATGATAAATTACCTGGATATCTGCTAATCCATCTAGCACTAGTATGTCAAGTACACATTATCTTCAAACAAGAATACAAAACAAGTCTTATTCCTATCAGTATTATAAGGGACAAATGAAGCTCCTAACTAAGTACATGCCAAAACAAAGGAAACTGAAGAGACCTGAAATCATACATTTGTAGATATCTGAATATAGAAAGGTTTTTAGGGGCACCTAGCTGGCTCAGTCGGTGGAGCATGTGATTCTTGATCTCGCGGTTGTACGTTCAAGCCCCATGTTGGGTGCAGAGATTACTTAAAAATAAAATCATAAATAAATGAATAAATAAATAAATAAATAAATAAATAAATAAATAAATAAATATCCAGGGCACCTGGGTGGCTCAGTCGCTTAAGCATCTGACTCTTGATTTCAGCTCAGGTCATGGTCTTGGGGTCGTGGGAATGAGCCCCAAGTTGGGCTCCTTACCCAGCGGGCCCTGTGCTTGAGATTCTCCCTCTCCCTCTGCACCCCTCCCCACTCACACACACTCTCTCTCTGTCTCAAATAAACAAATAAACCTAAAACAATAAGAGGTCTTTAATCAGTTAATATCACATCTCATACCTGCATTCTAGTGAAGATCTTCACCTGATACCTACAAAAATTAAAAAAAATACCCATTAACACGGATGTGAAGGACATCATCCTCACTTACCTAGATACCCAAGTTCAGATGGTCTTTATTGGAGTAGAATTCACCATTAACGCTCACCTGGTTCCTAGCTAGGTTGTGTTAAAAACCATTTTCAGTTCACCCTGTTTTCTTCACAGGGACCTGAAGAAACACATACAGATGAGTTTAAGATCCAATTTGTTCTAAGACACCTGCACCTATCCTTGTTCACTTCCGTTATTATGGAACACATCAACTCCACCCTCATCCTCGCACCTACTCGAGGTCAACAGTGTTGTCAGAAGAGACGAACACTACTTGACTGGATACCTGGCAAAACCCTATGGTTACCACTGTGGTGACACTCCACCACAATTGCCTAGACAGGATCGACTCCTCAATACTTACAAGATTAAACATACATTTTTCTCTAACATGTGGAAACTATAAACTCATGCTTATTAGAATTGGTAAGGACTCTATCATTTCTTACCTGATTATCTGAAAAAACAAACAAACAAACAAACACATGGCAAGCAAGTTTAGTCCATCATTCACACTTACCTGGTATGTGAAAATCCGATGATTTGAAATGGTGAAGGTGAATATCATCACCTACCTGGGTAACAGAAATATCCGCAGACAATGACTAGTGTTAGGTTCATCATCATCTCTTTACAGGAACCTAAAAAACACATGATGATATACGTGTAAAAGGACATGGCTTATTCTAACGGGGCACCTATCAATAAACTTGCTCATTTCCATCATTATGAAAGCATGAACTCTGCCTCAATATCTCTAGTACTCCAAGGGCAAGACCACTGTCAGGTAATACAACTTTTACAGGATACCTACAAACCTGTCATGATCACTACTGTGGTTGCGATACGTTGACCAATCCCTGATAAGTGTAATCCCTCATCACTCAGAGTTAAACAAGAGTTTTCTCTAAACACTGAAAACTCACGGTTTCAAGAGTTAGTTAGCAATCTATCATTTCTCATCTGAATACTTGCAAAGAAATCATGGTAATAGCAAGTGTTAGGGACCCCATCATCACTTACCTAGGTATCTGAGGATCAGAGGGTCTGTGCTGTGACTTAGGCCCACATCATCACCTACTGTGACTTCAACAACGACCATGGGAGCTGCCATTGATAGGCTCACTGTGATGTACTGAGGAGTATGGGGAAAAAATCACTGGAGAAAATATTTTGGGGGCATATCTTATTCTACCTCTATACCTGCAAATTCCCCTCGTCACTGTATCATGGAAGGAACCATCAGCACTACCTAGATACTTACAGAACTCCAAGGTCAATCCTTGAAGAGACGCCTTCCTCTCTTCAAGGTATACCTGCAGGAATCCCATAGTCAATGAAATAGTGAAGGACACTATGATAAATTACCTGGATATCTGCTAATCCATCTAGCACTACTATGTCAAGTACACATTATCTTCACACAAGAATACAAAACAAGTCTTATTCCTATCAGTATTATAAGGGACAAATTAAGCTCCTAACTAAGTACATGCCAAAAACAAAGTAAACTTAAGAGACCTGAAATCATACATTTGTAGATATCTGAATATAGAAAGGTCTTTAGGGGCACCTAGCTGGCTCAGTCGATGGAGCATGTGATTCTTGATCTCGCTTTTGTAAGTTCAAGCCCCATGTTGGGTGCAGAGATTACTTAAAAATAAAATCTTAAATAAATAAATAAATAAATAAATAAATAAATAAATAAATAAATAAATAAATAAATAAATATCCAGGGCACCTGGGTGGCTCAGTCGCTTAAGCATCTGACTCTTGATTTCAGCTCAGGTCATGGTCTTGGGGTCGTGGGAATGAGCCCCAAGTTGGCCTCCTTACCCAGCGGGCCCTGTGCTTGAGATTCTCCCTCTCCCTCTGCACCCCTCCCCACTCACACACACTCTCTCTCTGTCTCAAATAAACAAATAAACCTAAAACAATAAGAGGTCTTTAATCAGTTAATATCACATCTCATACCTGCATACTAGTGAAGATCTTCACCTGATACCTACAAAAATTAAAAAAAAATACCCATTAACACGGATGTGAAGGACATCATCTTCACTTACCTAGATACTCAAGTTCAGATGGTCTTTATTGGAGTAGAATTCACCATTAACGCTCACCTGGTTCCTAGCTAGGTTGTGTTAAAAACCATTTTCAGTTCACTCTGTTTTCTTCACAGGGACCTGAAGAAACACATACAGATGAGTTTAAGATCCAATTTGTTCTAAGACACCTGCACCTATCCTTGTTCACTTCCGTTATTATGGAACACATCAACTCCACCCGCATCCTCGCACCTACTCGAGGTCAACAGTGTTGTCAGAAGAGACGAACACTACTTGACTGGATACCTGGCAAAACCCTATGGTTACCACTGTGGTGACACTCCACCACAATTGCCTAGACAGGATCGACTCCTCAATACTTACAAGATTAAACATACATTTTTCTCTAACATGTGGAAAGTATAAACTCATGCTTATTACAATTGTTAAGGACTCTATCATTTCTTACCTGATTATCTGAAAAAACAAACAAACAAACAAACACATGGCAAGCAAGTTTAGTCCATCATTCACACTTACCTGGTATGTGAAAATCCGATGATTTGAAATGGTGAAGGTGAACATCATCACCTACCTGGGTAACAGAAATGTCCGCAGACAATGACTAGTGTTAGGTTCATCATCATCTCTTCACAGGGACCTAAAAAACACATGATGATATACGTGTAAAAGGACATGGCTTATTCTAACGGGGCACCTATCAATAAACTTGCTCATTTCCATCATTATGAAAGCATGAACTCTGCCTCAATATCTCTAGTACTCCAAGGGCAAGACCACTGTCAGGTAATACAACTTTTACAGGACACCTACAAACCTGTCATGATCACTACTGTGGTTGCGATACGTTGACCAATCCCTGATAAGTGTAATCCCTCATCACTCAGAGTTAAACAAGAGTTTTCTCTAAACACTGAAAACTCACGGTTTCAAGAGTTAGTTAGCAATCTATCATTTCTCATCTGAATACTTGCAAAGAAATCATGGTAATAGCAAGTGTTAGGGACCCCATCATCACTTACCTAGGTATCTGAGGATCAGAGAGTCTGTGCTGTGACTTAGGCCCACATCATCACCTACTGTGACTTCAACAACGACCATGGGAGCTGCCATTGATAGGCTCACTGTGATGTACTGAGGAGTATGGGGAAAAAATCACTGGAGAAAATATTTGGGGGGCATATCTTATTCTACCTCTATACCTGCAAATTCCCCTCGTCACTGTATCATGGAAGGAACCATCAGCACTACCTAGATACTTACAGAACTCGAAGGTCAATCCTTGAAGAGACGCCTTCCTCTCTTCAAGGTATACCTGCAGGAATCCCATAGTCAATGAAATAGTGAAGGACACTATGATAAATTACCTGGATATCTGCTAATCCATCTAGCACTACTATGTCAAGTACACATTATCTTCACACAAGAATACAAAACAAGTCTTATTCCTATCAGTATTATAAGGGACAAATTAAGCTCCTAACTAAGTACATGCCAAAAACAAAGTAAACTTAAGAGACCTGAAATCATACATTTGTAGATATCTGAATATAGAAAGGTCTTTAGGGGCACCTAGCTGGCTCAGTCGATGGAGCATGTGATTCTTGATCTCGCTTTTGTAAGTTCAAGCCCCATGGTGGGTGCAGAGATTACTTAAAAATAAAATCTTAAATAAATAAATAAATAAATAAATAAATAAATATCCATGGCACCTGGGTGGCTCAGTCGCTTAAGCATCTGACTCTTGATTTCAGCTCAGGTCATGGTCTTGGGGTCGTGGGAATGAGCCCCAAGTTGGGCTCCTTACCCAGCGGGCCCTGTGCTTGAGATTCTCCCTCTCCCTCTGCACCCCTCCCCACTCACACACACTCTCTCTCTGTCTCAAATAAACAAATAAACCTAAAACAATAAGAGGTCTTTAATCAGTTAATATCACATCTCATACCTGCATACTAGTGAAGATCTTCACCTGATACCTACAAAAATTTAAAAAAAATACCCATTAACACGGATGTGAAGGACATCATCCTCACTTACCTAGATACTCAAGTTCAGATGGTCTTTATTGGAGTAGAATTCACCATTAACGCTCACCTGGTTCCTAGCTAGGTTGTGTTAAAAACCATTTTCAGTTCACTCTGTTTTCTTCACAGGGACCTGAAGAAACACATACAGATGAGTTTAAGATCCAATTTGTTCTAAGACACCTGTACCTATCCTTGTTCACTTCCGTTATTATGGAACACATCAACTCCACCCGCATCCTCGCACCTACTCGAGGTCAACAGTGTTGTCAGAAGAGACGAACACTACTTGACTGGATACCTGGCAAAACCCTATGGTTACCACTGTGGTGACACTCCACCACAATTGCCTAGACAGGATCGACTCCTCAATACTTACAAGATTAAACATACATTTTTCTCTAACATGTGGAAAGTATAAACTCATGCTTATTACAATTATTAAGGACTCTATCATTTCTTACCTGATTATCTGAAAAAACAAACAAACAAACAAACACATGGCAAGCAAGTTTAGTCCATCATTCACACTTACCTGGTATGTGAAAATCAGATGATTTGAAATGGTGAAGGTGAACATCATCACCTACCTGGGTAACAGAAATGTCCGGAGACAATGACTAGTGTTAGGTTCATCATCATCTCTTTACAGGAACCTAAAAAACACATGATGATATATGTGTAAAAGGACATGGCTTATTCTAACAGGACACCTATCAATAAGCTTGGTCATTTCCATCATTATAAAAGCATTAACTCTGCCTGAATATCTCTAGTACTCCAAGGTCAAGACCACTATCAGGTAATACAACTTTTACAGGACACCTACAAACCTGTCATGAAAACTACTGTGGTTGCGATACGTTGACCAATACCTGATAAGTGTAATCCCTCATCACTCAGAGTTAAACAAGAGTTTTCTCTAAACACTGAAAACTCACGGTTTCAAGAGTTAGTTAGCAATCTATCATTTCTCATCTGAATACTTGCAAAGAAATCATGGTAATAGCAAGTGTTAGGGACCCCGTCATCACTTACCTAAGTATCTGAGGATCGGAGGGTCTGTCCTGTGACTTAAGCCCACATCATCACCTACTGTGACTTCAACAATGTCCCATGGGAGCTGCCCGTGATAGGCTCACTGTGATGTACTGATAGGAGTATGGGGAAAAAATCACTGGATATAATATTTGCGGGGCATATCTTATTCTACCTCTATACCTGCAAATTCCCCTCGTCACTTTATCACTGAAGGAACCATGAGCACTACCTAGATACTTACAGAACTCCAAGGTCAATCCTTGAAGAGACGCCTTCCTCTCTTCAAGGTATACCTGCAGTAATCCCATAGTCAATGAAATAGTGAAAGACACTATGATAAATTACCTGGATATCTGCTAATCCATCTAGCACTACTATGTCAAGTACACATTATCTTCAAACAAGAATACAAAACAAGCCTTATTCCTATCAGTATTATAAGGGACAAATTAAGCTCCTAAGTAAGTACATGCCAAAAACAAAGTAAACTTAAGAGACCTGAAATCATACATTTGTAGATATCTGAATATAGAAAGGTCTTTAGGGGCACCTAACTGGCTAAGTCGGTGGAGCATGTGATTCTTGATCTCGCAGTTGTAAGTTCAAGCCCCATGTTGGGTGCAGAGAGTACTTAAAAATAACTAACTAACAAAGAAACAAAGAAACAAACAAACAAATAAATAAATAAATGTATGTATGTATGTCTAGGGCACCTGGGTGGCTCAGTCGTTTAAGCGTCTGACTCCTGATTTCAGCTCAGGTCATGATCTAGGTGTCGTGGGAATGAGCCCCAAGTTGGGCTCCTTACCCAGCGGGCCCTGTGCTTGAGATTCTCCCTCTCCCTCTGCACCCCTCCCCACTCACACACACTCTCTCTCTGTCTCAAGTATACAGATAAACCTAAAATAATAAGAGGTCTTTATTCAGTTAATATCACATCTCATACCTGCATAGTAGTGAAGATCTTCACCTGATACCTACAAAAATTTTTAAAAAATACCCATTTACACGGATGTTAAGGACATCATCCTCACTTACCTACATACTCAAGTTCAGATGGTCTTTATTGTAGTAGGATTCACCATTAACGCTCACCTGGTTCCTAGCAAGGTTGTGTTAAAAACCATTTTCAGTTCACCCTGTTTTCTTCACAGGAACCTGAAGAAACACATACAGATGAGTTTAAGATCCAATTTGTTCTAAGACACCTGCACTTATCCTTGTTCACTTCCATTATTATGGATCACATCAACTCCACCCGCATCCTCGCACCTACTCGAGGTCAACAGTGTTGTCAGCAGAGACGAACACTACTTGACTGGATACCTGGCAAAACCCTATGGTTACCACTGTGGTGACACTCCACCACAACTGCCTAGACAGGATCGACTCCTCAATACTTACAAGATTAAACATACATTTTTCTCTAACATGTGGAAAGTATAAACTCATGCTTATTCGAATTGGTAAGGACTCTATCATTTCTTACCTGATTATCTGAAAAAACAAACAAACAAACAAACAAACACATGGCAAGCAAGTTTAGTCCATCATTCACACTTACCTGGTATGTGAAAATCCGATGATTTGAAATGGTGAAGGTGAACCTCATCACCTTCCTGGGTAACAGAAATGTCCGCAGACAATGACTAGTGTTAGGTTCATCATCATCTCTTCACAGGAACCTAAAAAACACATGATGATATATGTGTAAAAGGACATGGCTTATTCTAAAGGGGCACCTATCAATAAGCTTGGTCATTTCCATCATTGTAAAAGCATTAACTCTGCCTGAATATCTCTAGTACTCCAAGGTCAAGACCACTGTCAGGTAATACAACTTTTACAGGACACCTACAAACCTGTCATGATCACTACTGTGGTTGCGATACGTTGACCAATCCCTGATAAGCGTAATCCCTCATCACTCAGAGTTAAACAAGAGTTTTCTCTAAACACTGAAAACTCACGGTTTCTAGAGTTAGTTAGCAATCTATCATTTCTCATCTGAATACTTGCAAAGAAATCATGGTAATAGCAAGTGTTAGAGACCCCATCATCACTTACCTAGGTATCTGAGGATCAGAGCGTCTGTGCTGTGACTTAGGCCCACATCATCGCCTACTGTGACTTCAACAACGTCCCATGGGAGCTGCCATTGATAGGCTCACTGTGATGTACTGATAGGAGCATGGGAAAAAAATCACTGGAGAAAATATTTGGGGGGCATATCTTATTCTACCTCTATACCTGCAAATTCCCCTCGTCACTGTATCATTGAAGGAACCATCAGCACTACCTAGATACTTACAGAACTCCAAGGTCAATCCTTGAAGAGACGCCTTCCTCTCTTCAAGGTACACCTGCAGGAATCCCATAGTCAATGAAATAGTGAAGGACACTATGATAAATTACCTGGATATCTGCTAATCCATCTAGCACTACTATGTCAAGTACACATTATCTTCACACAAGAATACAAAACAAGTCTTATTCCTATCAGTATTATAAGGGACAAATTAAGCTCCTAACTAAGTACATGCCAAAAACAAAGTAAACTTAAGAGACCTGAAATCATACATTTGTAGATATCTGAATATAGAAAGGTCTTTAGGGGCACCTAGCTGGCTCAGTCGGTGGAGCATGTGATTCTTGATCTCGCAGTTGTCAGTTCAAGCCCCATGTTGGGTGCAGAGATTACTTAAAAATAAAATCTTAAAATAATAAATAAATAAATGTCCAGGGCACCTGGGTGGCTCAGTCGGTTAAGCGTCTGACTCTTGATTTCAGCTCAGGTCATGATCTTGGGGTCGTGGGAATGAGCCCCACGTTGGGCTCCTTACCCAGCGGACCCTGTGCTTGAGATTCTCCCTCTCCTTCTGCACCCCTCCCCACTCACACACAGTCTCTCTCTGTCTCAAATAAACAAATAAACCTAAAACAATAAGCGGTCTTTAATCAGTTAATATCACATCTCATACCTGCATACTAGTGAAGATCTTCACCTGATACCTACAAAAATTTAAAAAAAATACACATTAACACGGATGTTAAGGACATCATCCTCACTTACCTACATACTCAAGTTCAGATGGTCTTTATTGTAGTAGGATTCACCATTAACGCTCACCTGGTTCCTAGCAAGGTTGTGTTAAAAACCATTTTCAGTTCACCCTGTTTTCTTCACAGGAACCTGAAGAAACACATACAGATGAGTTTAAGATCCAATTTGTTCTAAGACACCTGCACCTATCTTTGTTCACTTCCATTATTATGGAACACATCAATCCACCCGTATCCTCGCACCTACTCGAGGTCAACAGTGTTGTCAGCAGAGACCAACACTACTTGACTGGATACCTGGAGGAACCCTATGGTTACCGGTGTGGTGGCACTTCACCACAATTGCCTAGATAGGATCAACTCTTCAATACTTACAGGATTAAACATAGATTTCTCTCTAAAATATGGAAAGCATAAACTCATTCTCATTAGAATTGGAAAGGACTCTATCATTTTTTACCTGAATATCTGGAACAAAATAATGTTAACAAGAAGTGTTAAGACACCATCATCACTTACCTAAGCGTGTGAAGTTCAAATGGTCTTTGTTTGTGGGTTAGTCCCATCTCACTTACCTCCTTTCCTGCTATGTGTCTCCTTCACTACCACAGACTGGCTCACAGACACGGTGTTAACAGGAACGTGAAAAACATGCTGTGGAAAGTGTTCAGTACACATCCTGTTCTACCTGGACACCCACAGAATTCCTTTGGTCAGCTCTATCATTTTGTAACTCATCAAGGTCACCTGAATAACTGTAGAACTCTGAGGTTAAACCCTCACCTGAAATACCTTCCTTTCTTGAAGAGGTATCCAGAAAAATTTTATGGTTGCTTGCCCCTCTGTCACCATTAGGAGTATAAAAAAACACATTATCTCTAAACAAGAAGCTAGTTAATAGTCGTGCTTACTAGTATTGCTCAGGACAAACCAAGTTCTTAACTATAAACATGCCCCAAAACAAGGTTATTAGAAGAGTCTTGGGATCATTATTAATTACCTAGATGTCTGAAAATAACAAAAAGCCTCTAAAGAGTGTATGTCCTATCACATCATACCTCTATTAGCAAAGACCTTAATAGGATACCTGCAAAAACATAACACATGTTTTGGGGACACCATCCTTATCTAGATACTGAAGATCAGACAGTGTGCATTGTAGTAAGACCCACTTTGTCACTTACCTGGTTACTAGCAATCTCAAATAATGACCATTGCTAGATTCACTGTGATTTCTTGACTGGAACCTGAAAAACATGTGTAATGATTATGTTTAAGAACACAACTTCTGGGGCGTCTGGGTGGCTCAGTCGATTGGGCATCTGACTCTTCATTTCACTCAGGTCATGATCTCAGCATCATGGGATCGGGCCCCGCATCAGGCTCTACGATGAGTGTGGAGACTGCTTGAGATTCTCTCTTTCCCTGTGCCCCTCCACCCCTTCTCTCTCTCTCAAAATAAATAAATCTTTAAAGAAAGAGAAAAAAAAAACCACACAACTTGTTCAGGGCGCCTGGGTGGCTCAGCCAGTTAAGCATCCAACTCTTGATCTCAGCTCAGGACTTGTTCTCAGGGTCTTGAGTTCAAGCCCCATGTTGGGCTCCACGCTGCCCCCTTTCCCCCAAAAAAGAACACAACTTGTTCTACCATGACTCCTACAAATAATCTTGGTCACCTTCATTATCGGGGAAGTTTCAACACTACCTTGATCTTGGCAGAACTTCAAAGTTGACACTGTTAGAGATGCCATCATTTCTTTACCAAGTACCTGTGGAAATCTCCTGGTCAGTAGTGTTTGGTATTGATAGTAGAATAACCTGAACAACTGTTTATCCCTCAGTCCCTTCTATATATAAACATACAGTATATCTAAACTTTAAAATACTAGAGGCTAATGCTTATAGCATCAGTTGGGACAATATCATTTCTTACCTGAATGCCCACCAAAAAAAAAGGTAACACAGATGTTAGGGACATCATCCTCATTGACCTCAATAACTGAAGATCACCTGATTTTTAATGGGGCTTAAGGCACATATCAGTACTTACTGAGATACATGCAAAGTCTCTGTTAATGATGATGATCAGGTTCATTATGATCTCTTGACTGGAACCTGAAAAACACATTGTGACAAATGTTTATCTAAGGACACACATCTTCCATATGGATACCTGCAAATAACCACCTTCATTCACTTCCATCATGGCAGGATCCATCAACCTAACTAGATTTTTGCAATATTCAAGGTCTAGCTATATTGAGAGACACCATCATCTCCTGACTACGTATCTATAAAATACCATGGTTACAATTGTGAGGCAGAATTTCAGGGTAATTACCTGGATAAACGCAAATTACTCAATACTCACATGATTACACATACATTTTCTGTACAATATGACAGCAGGATAACATGGTTGTTAGCATTGGCAAAACATTATCATTGCTTGCCTACCTGAATACCTGCTAAGAACTCACATGATAAAACAGGTCTGGGCAATCCAACATAATTCAGCCAGATATATAAAGATCAGATGGTCTGTGATGTGTATATCATCACTTACCTGCATACCAGAGATGTCCCCCTGTTAGTGACTTATGATTCATCATGGTATCTTGATAAGAACCTGAAAAACACTTTGTGAAGTATATATTAAGGGATACAACTTTTTTTTAACCAGAACATCTGAAAATAACCATGGACACTGTACAGAGCACATCAAGTCTACCTGGATACTTGGATTAATTCAAGGTCAACACCACTGTCAGATAACAACATCATTTCATACCATAAAAACTGTAAAAATCCCACGATTACTAATTGGGGGCAGGACACCATGACATTTACCTGGATACACACAGTCCCTCAATGCTCACAGAGTTAAATATAATTTTTCTCTTAAATATAAAATGTGAAAAACAATGGTTACAAGAATTGGTTTGGAACATATCCTTTATTAACTGAATACTTGTAAGAATTATATTAACAAGCAGTGTTAGAGATACCCATCACTTCTTACCTTTATATATGAAGATGAGATGATCTATGCTGTGATTTAGGCCCACATCATCACTTACCTTGATAACAGCAATATCCTCTGTGAACTTATCATTGATAAGCTCACCGTGGGGTCTTGACATGAATCTGAAAAACACATTGTGAAAAATGTGTTTGGTACATGGGTCATTCTACCTCTACACCTAAAAATTCCCCTGGTCATTTGTATCATTTCGGGACCCATCAAGGTTACCTGGTTACTTGCAGAAGTCCAAAGTCCAAGGTTAAACCTTAGAAAGAGACATCTTCCACTTTTGGAGAGATGCCTGCAAAAGTCCCATGGTCATTAAGGTGTGATGGAGAATATGAGAAATTACCTGGATGCCTGCATATCTCCTTACAAATGTTAACTACACATTAGTTCCAAAGAGAATACCGTAAAATCTCATGCTTACTAGTATTGTTATGAACAAATTTCTTAATAGTGCACATGCTACAAGAGAAATTAATATGTGTTTCTACAACATCATTAATTATCTAGATGCCTGAAATAAAGAAGGTCTCAATGTGCACTAGCAAAGACCTTAATGAAATACTTGCAAAAAACATGGTAATACAAGGGTTATGAACATCATGCCCACTTACCTCGATATTCAAAGGTCAGATGATCTGTATTGTGCTCAGACCCACTTACCTGGCTAAGAGCAAAGTCCTGTTAATGTCCACTGAGAGCTTAACTGTGATCTGTTGACTGAAACCTGAGAAAAAAAATGTAACAAATGTGTTTAAGGACACAACTACCTCTACCAGGATACCTGCAAATAACCTTGATCACTTTACCATTATGGGACACATCAACTACCTCTAGACACTTACAGTACTCCCAGATTAATAACCATTGTCAGATTAAGACCATCATCTGTGACTTTATACCTGCAGAATTCCCATGGTTACCTGTGTTGTGGAACACCACGATTGTTACCTGTCAGGGTTAAATATAAATTTTCTCTCAAATGTCAAAAGTGAAAACTTGGGATGCCTGGGTGGCTCAGATGGTTAAGCATCTGCCTTTGGCTCAGGTCATGATCTCCAGGTTCTGGGACTGAGCCCCATGTTGGGCTCCCAGCTCAACAGAGAATCGGCTTCTCTGTCTCCCTCTGCCTCTCCCCCTGCTTGTGCTCTGTCTCCCACTCTCTCAAAATGAATAAATAAAATCTTAAAAAAAAAAGTGAAAACTTGTAGTTTCTAGAATGTAAGGACTCTACATTTTC